AGCTCATGGCAAAGGTACTCTTGCCCCTTAAAGAATCTTTACACATGGCATCAGAAGCAAAGCAGCAACACAAGAGGAAGGAGCACATCACACATGCAGGCAAATCCTGGAGGCCAGTGGAAAAGCTGTCCAGGGAGCCAGGGAAAGCTACTGATGGAATGAATATCATTATCTCAGCTAAAACCAGTCCTATAATATTAATCAATGAATTTAAAAAAAACCTCAAATCAATCTTATTTAAGGCTATAAAGTGGTTTCTCACTGCTTCAGGAACTGGACTTGCCTACTGAGTTCAAGTAAGAGATGAGTTTTGCAAAAATAAAAGGAAGTGCTGAGGGCTGTGTAGCAATTTCTGCCCAGGCTTTTCCTGGGCCAAAGGTGCCCAGTGGGCATGAGGAGGTCACAAGTACCAGAACAAAAGCAACAGAGCTCCCAAGGCATGCAGCACTTTGAGCTGTGTCTTCTGAGCTTAATGCAGTTCTGGTAAACAGATTTGGAGGTTTGTGCTCTCCTGCTGACCTTGAAGGATTGTCTGCTGGTGCTGAATTCCATATGTTGAATTTATACTTTTAAACTAACACAGCTAAAAGGAATTGCTCCTAAAACTCCCAGTTACTGGTAACCCCAGATATCATTTTACCAAGCCTTTGCAGCACCCAGCTCTGAGGTGGTGCAGTCACAAACATTTGGCCATTCAGTCTCTCTGCACAGCAGCACAGAACAGATCCCAACAGATCTGCCTCCAAACCAAAGGCACATTCAGGCTGGCAGAACTGCTTACTGAAAAAGCTGGTACTTCAAAAATCCATCTGTACAAATGGCAGGAGGGAATTTTGTTTTATTTTATCTTAAAACCAAGCAAGAAGGAAGCAGGGATTCCCAGCCCACCAGAAGATGGCAATTGTAGCAGTAACACCTTGGACATCAGTGCTGTATCCACGGCCTTCAGCTCCACCTGCTGCTCCAGCAGGGAGGTACCTGGGCAGGGGCTCACAGTGAGCCAGTGTGACAAACACGAGACCATCTCAGTCTCTTCCACCAGCAGCACTGGTGGACACAGTCTCAGCTAACGTCAGGGAAGGTATAGGTTGGATTTTAGGAAAAAAATTTTCATCAAAAGAATAATAAAGTACTGGAATGCTCTTCCCAGGGAGGTGGTGGAATCACCATCTCTGGATGTGTTTAAAAAAGACTGGACATGGCACTTGGTGCTATAGTCTAGGTGTTAGGGCATAGGTTGGACTCGATGATCTCAGGTCTCTTCCAACCTCATTATTCTGTGATTCTGTGATCTCCAGAGTCTTGAGCAGCAAAGGTCTGGAGGGGCTAAGACAGGCCTGGCTATGCAGGAATTTGTGTTCCTGACACTCTTTCAGCCATGAGAGCGTTGCCAGAAGCCAAGAGAACCCTTACACATCTGCAAGTCACAAAGCAAAGCCCTGACCCTGTGCCACCTGAGACCTGGTTGGTGTTTGGGGAACTGACAGAGGTGAGCATGGAATGCATCCACAGTGAGGACAATGACAAAAAGGTAGCAGGGATAAAGCTTCCAGAAGACTCTGGACTGGAGGAGAAGTCCTTCCCATCAGTCAGGAAATGGGATGTACCTGAGAGTCAGGAAGTGCATCCTTCCAAATCAGGTCCACAGGCAACACCACTGCAGAAACCAACACTCAAGGAGCAGAGGGACAGAGTACACAGGAAAACAGTGAAAGTCTTTACACTGTCCTGACCCAGCTGAACTGCCCAGTCCCCTAAAGACACACACACACACATCCTACCTCATAAAGCCCAGGAACATCAGGAGGACGAGGCTGACGAGCCACCCTGCTGTGGCAAAGGCCTTGGGCATGGTCAGGGCTCCCGTTCCAACAATGAGGTTGAACATGTACACCAGGCCAACCTGCAATCAGCCACATGATCCAGCATCAGAGTGTGCCAGGAACCACCCAAAACACCTCACATACACCCTGACTTAAATGGAGAGGGCAATCCCTGAGCCAGAGGGTGGGAAAAAGTCCATGTGAGAAATACTTGGAGGAAAGGACTGAAATCCAAAGAGGACAATGTGGGTGACAGCACATTACTGGAGAAACAGATAGTACCCTTCATTTTTCTAATTGTTTTAAATTAGTTTTTTCTCTCTAGCTTGTAAAGTTATAAAGTGCATGAATATTTTTTGTTTTCAAATCACTGCCTTCTACCAGAAGGTCTGTGCTGTGGGTTGAGGTCTCTCCTTTTTTTCTGACCTGAACACAAGTACTTATGGCTATGTACCTTCCAGGACCTTTTATTCTCAGTAAAGCAGGAAATATCCAAACAGAATTCTACTTCAAAGCCTGCTTGCCATTTTACCAGTAAGAAGCTGAGCATATTGTGAAGAAGGGATTTTACTTCCTGAAGGGAAAGGATTTTATTTCCTCTGGCAATGAGCTTTTGCAGTGTCCAAAGACAAAAGAGAACTGTGAACATGGACAGGACCCCCCAGGCTAAGAATTTAACTCAATTAAAGATCAAAAACTGCCAAAGTTGTTGTGCTTTAGTGGGGTTTTTTTTAATACAGGCCAGAGTCCCTCCAGAGGAAAGCCAGTAAAGAGCTGTATATGAGCAGACTTTTCTGGGTGTGGAGCAATTAACATCAGGAGAATGATTCCCCAGTGACCTGACAGCACTTCACTTCATAAACACAGCAAATTCATCTTGTGCTGAGCATCCCAGAACAATGATTTTCCTTTGGTCAAGCAGAAATGAGAATGGTGCCTGCAATGTTCAGCTGGGTTAGGCATCCTCAGGGAAAGAGGAGAGCCTCAGCCCTTGAGATGACTCCAGGAAATTCATGCAGCACCAGCACAACAACATCAGAGCAGGTGACACTAATCCTTGAGGGTCCAGACATCCCAGTTACTGTCTTACTTCTCCATTTTTGTGACCTATTTCTGCAGCCTAATATCCACTTCTCCTACATTTAATCACTAACATGGAGATGAAAATTTTAAAGCATTTAAAATCCAACACACAGATTTCAGGGCTGGTTCTAAATTTACTGAGTTCACTTAAAAAAAAAAAAAGGTGTTTACAAAGTGCTGTTTTTAAAAGCTGACATTTTGTGAAGGCTTGTGGCTATGAAAACCAGTATTTCCAGTAATATAGGAAAGCAGTAATTGGCTCTGCAGTTGCACAGGACACCACATTACAGGGAAGAAACCTCTAAATTACTCACTTCCACTGAAGTGGTATAAAACAAATTACTGCAACAGCTGCAGCTAAGTAAACTTTGAGAAATTCAGGGGGAAATGTTTACATAAAGCAACAAAAGGGAAGAAAGTGGGATAGTTTCAATATCCAAGTCCCCCCTCTCTCTTCCAAGGACAGAAAACATTAACAAAATATAAGAAGGATAAAGAGCTGGTGTGGGACATGAAGCTCTTTCTAGCACTTTTAGATCTATACTTCAAGCACACATCACCCCTTTACCCTATGAAAAATGATCTGTGATGTAAAAAAACCCCATGTAACTACAAACATCAAGCATCTTTAACCACCATTTGACCCCCCACAACCTCTTGAAACGCTGACATTATGTCCATGAGGAAGTAGGATTTGCAAACTCAACGCTGAGGAAAGAAGATTTGGGGAAAAAAAAACTCGTGAGCAAACCCCCAAGCAGTGGAACTTACGTAGGGAGAGTAAAGCTCTCCAGTGTCAGTGATGCCACCTGCCATCCTGGAGCTGGAGGGGAGCCCCAGAGCAAAGCCAGGAGGGTATTTTTGGGAGGGTCTTTTCAACTTCTGTCACCTTTAACCTAGGGAAACATCACAGTACTGTGTTATCTTTGCTGGAAAAAGGAAGAAGTCACAAGTTAGCTTTGGCACATGGTTTTATGGTGTTTGAACAGATCTCAGCAGGATCTTGCCCTTCAGACATACCCCACTCACCAGCACTTCTGTGAGAAGCTTTCATATCTGTTAAACTGGTTTAAAATCAACCAAAAGGCCCTGCTCTGTCACAGCATGTGATGACCAAACTTCATCCTCTCCAAACAGCCAGAGGGGCTGTTCCAGACAACTGAAACCTCAACAGGAAAAGTTACTGCCTTGAGAATGATCTCAAACTGCTGCTTCTCACGCAGCTGCTACTCCTTGCAAACACGTGCCTCCTACAAACCCAAAAACCAGCCTGAAGTCTCTCCTCCTAAATTCAAGTACAGAAATAAGCAGACAAATCAAAATATTGGACCTATTAAAGACACGCCAAAACGCTTTTCATGCACCTGCATTTCCAAAGCAGAAATATTTGGGAAGCTTTACATTGTTGCAAAAAAACTAGATGTGTATGGAGGAGCTGAAGCCTTCTGTAAAGTTTCAATGATTAGCCACGGTTGAAGTAAGGGCTTCACACTTCTACATGTGCTCCTACTCAGCCACATGGGCTGGGCCAAACCATCAGCACAAGCTAAAAACCCAGTTATGAGCTTGTACACCCACAACGAACGCCAGGAGAGAATCAGGCAGCATAACTCACTGAGGTCACAACCGGACCGGCCTCAGAAGGAGAGATCAAACATCACCTCAAAAACCGAAGGCGAGCTTGGCAAACCCAGAGCAGGCAGGAAGGGAAGGGACACTGCGGGCCAGCCGGGCCAGCGGAGCCCCCCGGCCTGGCCCCCACACGGAACGCTGCCCGCCCCCTCACCCCGGGGCGCCCTCCCCAGGCCCGGCTCCCGCCGCCCCGCCGCACGCCCCCACACCGGGACCCTCCCCAGGCCTCGATGGGCGCTGCCCAGAAGGGAGCGTGGCGCGGAAAATGGGGTGGGGCAGAGAGGGGCGTGGCCGGGCCGCGAAGGGGCGTGTCCATCAAAGGCAGGGGCGGGGACAGGCGGAAGGCACCGACAGTGATTGGGCCACGGGAGGGGCGGGGACGAGGCAGAGGCGGGGCCCCGCGGGAACATGGGCGGGGCACGAAAGGGGCGGAGCGATGACGCCACGCCTTTCGCACCGGGAAGGCGGCGGGGTCGGTGCGCATGCGTAGAGGGCGGGCAGGGTCCCGGTTCCCGTCCCCGTCCCGGGGGTCCCGTCGGGATGGCGGGGCCGGGATTCGGGCCTGTTAATGCGGCCGCATTGCTGCGAGCCGCCCCGTGAGAGCCGCCCCTCGCTACCTAAAGCCGCCAGGCCGCGTTGCCCCCTCACCGGCGGCACGGAGTGCGGTGCTGGCTGTCTCCCTCAGAGCAGCGGCCATGAGGGTTAACCAGGACATGGTGCTGCGGGGCAAGAAGGTGACGCTGGTGCCCTACACGGCTGCGCACGTGCCGCGGTAGGTGCCCGTGCCCTCCGGGGCGCCGTTTTGCTGCGGTCACGGCGGCAGGCCCGCTCCCGGGAGTCAGCCCGTGCGGGGCCCTGCCCTCCGAGCTCTGTGCAGCCCTGCTGGGAGCGCCGCGCTGTGAGCGAGCCGCGGCTCCTCTGGCTCCGGTGGCGGGGGAACAGCAAAGCTGCGGCGTGTGGAGCCGGGCGGTGTTGGATAAATGAGGGCGGGAGTTTGTGAAGGAAATCGGCGCAAACAGCGCTGGTGTTTCTGTCAGGATCCGGGAGGTGCCGCCGGTGCTGCTCGGGATGACACACACCAGAACTCAGAAACACCAGGGGGGCATTGGGCACTCCAGACAAAGCCACAGGACGGGAAAAATTCCTAAATTCCCGGAGAGCGCTGTGTTCCATAAGGGACTGAGGCTTGTGGATACATTTTAAGTTTAAGAAGCCAGGAAAGCCGGGCGGGTGTTCGCTGCTTTGTGATGGGCTGACCCTGGAGCACGGGAGGGATCCCGGTGAGGTGGGTCCCATGAGGTGGATCCCGCCCAGGTGGATCCCATGAGGTGGATCCCGCCCAGGTGGATCCCATGAGGTGGATCCTGTGAGGTGGATCCCAGCCAGGTGGATCCCGGCCAGGTGGATCCCGGCCAGGTGGATCCCGCCCAGGTGGATCCCGACAAGGTGGGTCCCACCCAGGTGGATCCCGCCGAGGTGGATCCCATGAGGTGGATCCCGTGAGGTGGATCTCGGCCAGGTGGATCCCGTGAGGTGGGTCCCGCCCAGGTGGATCCCGCCCAGGTGGATCCTGTGAGGTGGATCCCGTGAGGTGGATCCCGCCCAGGTGGATCCCGTGAGGTGGATCCCGGCCAGGTGGGTCCCGGCCAGGTGGGTCCCGTGAGGTGGATCCCTGCCAGGTGGATCCCGTGAGGTGGATCCCGTGAGGTGGATCCTGTGAGGTGGATCCCGGCCAGGTGGACCCCATGAGGTGGATCCCTGCCAGGTGGATCCCTGCCAGGTGGATCCCGTGAGGTGGATCCCGCCCAGGTGGGTCCCGCCGGGGCCGTGACCTGGGGTGCATCACCAGGTACCACGAGTGGATGCAGTCGGAGGAGCTGCAGCGCCTGACGGCCTCGGAGCCCCTCAGCCTGGAGCAGGAGTACGAAATGCAGCGCAGCTGGAGGGAGGACGCTGACAGTGAGCACCTGGGATGCTGCCTGAGGGAGGGGGGCAGTGCTGAGCGCACTGGGAAGGACCCACAGTGAGCTGGGAGTGCCCTGCGAGCGAGTTCCTGTAAACCAGAGGGGATGTGACACTCTATACAGCAGCATCTTGAGGTGGTTTTCTCATTACAGCTGGTATATGTTCAGGGAAGTGGGGAATATCCACTTCCTCGAGCTGTCTGTGTCTTTTTTATGCAGTTTTCCAGAGACTGTAGTGATTCATTTCCCACAGCATTTTGTGCTGAGCTAAAAGTCATTAAGCATCATTCCTGCACAGGCAACACTCCCCAGGTCTCATCGTTGCAAAAAGGTAGAAGGAGGCTGTATTTCTCCTTGATAAATTGGATGATTTTATGATCACCTGGTTGAGGTTTGTTGACTGAATTGGTTCCCTGACTCTCCTACAGGTAATGAATCACTGCCCATAAAAGCCTGGTACAAATTTAGTGAGCTGGAAAATACTGAAGCTGGCAAAGACCTCAGTCTGGAGCATTTGTCTTAGGTGGCATTAAAAAAACCTTACTCAGAGCAGCAATAAGATGGACCAGGTGAATCACTCAGCCTCTTGTGCACCAAAACAGTTCTTTGCCCCAACTTGCTGCTGAGTAAGACAAGGCAAGGAGACTTCAAACATGGGAAGGAAGTTTTCACACTTCTTCCACAGGCTGTCTCTAGTCTTGGTGTCTGTGTCACCCTCACAACAGGTTTTTCCAAGTATTTCTTTCATTTCTGCAGGTGGGAACAGGCACACCTGGTGTGGGAAGCCAAATTATTAACCCTTCCTTGCTGTTAACACATGGAAACTGTTATTCCCCTGTCCATTACGCACCTTTAATTCAATTCTTTGGTAATTTATGAATAATTACCAGCACGCTCTGAAGATGCTGCCACGTTCTTGTTTTGCCCAGAGTGCACCTTCATCGTGCTGGACTCGGAGCGCTGGCCTGGGCAGGAGGAGGAGAGCTCCATGGTTGGGGATGTGAATCTCTTCCTCACCAACGCCGAGGACCCCACCCTGGGCGAGATTGAAATCATGATTGCAGGTCAAGTTCTGCTTCATAGCCTGGGGCTCTGTCGCTGAGGCTTTGTGCTGCAGAGGGATGTTGATCAGCTTTTTGTTCTCATGTTTACCATGGCTGTTCAGCCCTGAGCAGTCCATGGCGTGTCCAGCTCACAGCCTCTTCTCAGAAGTGGCTGGTGTGGCTGGTTTGTCTCCCCTAACTGGTGCTGACCCTGTGCTGTCTCTTTCAGAGCCCAGCTGCCGTGGCAGAGGGTTTGGCAAGGAGGCAACTCTGCTGATGATGGCCTATGGTGAGGGTGGCTCCGTGCACAGGAACAGGAGTGTGGGGGCTGAGATCTGGGAGCACACAATTCCCAGTGATACAGCAGGGTCCTAAGGGATGTGTCTGCCCCACAGCTGGAGTCCTGTGCTTTTATAGATGTGGCATGTAATAGAAGTGCCTCTCTCTCTGATTTCTCCTGCAGGAGTGAGAAAACTGGGGATCACCAAGTTTGAGGCTAAGATTGGTCAGGAAAATGAAGCCAGTATCTGCATGTTCAAAAAGCTTCACTTTAAGGAGGTGCAGTACCAGCCCAAGTCCCCAGAGAACGTGAGCAGCATTTGCCCTGTGGCTGGGACTGAGCTGCTTTCCCTGTGTGTGCTGCAGGTTGCTGTGAACAGCATTTTCCAGGAGGTGACGCTGAGGCTGGATGTCAGTGAGCAGGAGAGACAGTGGCTCCTGGAGCAGACAAACCACGTGGAGGAGAAGAGTTATGCTGAACTGAAGCAGCCAGCTGGGGTGCTGGACACCTGACAGACACCCCCAGACACCAGCTGGGTTTCCAGGGAGAAGTTGGACTTTGTTGCAAGGTCTGGGTGTGGAGAACACCAGAGAGCCAGCACTGGAATTTTTCTGTTCTCCAACAGCTGAACTCTTCTTCAGCTGCTTTGTCATCTTGTCAACTTTGCACTTTGCTCCACCAGCCAGGATTACTGCCTGAAATTTGAACCTGGGGAACAGCCACTAACTCACAGGTTTGGCTAGGAATTGCTCTTTTATTTGCTGTTCCAACAGAGCTTAAAATCACCAGCAGTTGATTCCTGGACAAGCAGAAACTTCTCCCACTGCTCTTAAATCCAGATTCATCAGTGAGGAGGTTTCATATACTGGCAGCTCATTCTTTTTTACTCTTGAATTAATAAAAAATATCACAAAAATCTGAGGTTCCTGAGCACTACATGGGGCTAAGCTGCTTTCTTTGGCAGCTCAAAAAGTGGTTTAGAAGTTGTAAAGGACAGCACAGACTCTTTAAACCCAGTTTCCTGGGGTCTGGTAGGTTGTGGAGGGACACTGCTGGGTCCTGGCAGGGAGAAGCTCAGATGTGGGTGAGCACAAACAAAGCACAAGTTACTATGATGGAAATTGTTGATATTGGCTGATCAAGGCTGGAGCTGAGCCCCACCACTGAGGGGGCTGAGAGCTGCAGGAGGTTTCTGAGACAAGCCCCCTTCAGCTTCAGGGCTGTGCTCCAGATCTGAAAACCTCAGGCCAGCAGTGATGTTGCACTTCATTTTCCTTGGCTGCTTTGATGAGAGTAAGGAGGAGAATACACTGAAAGAAGACAGCTCCCTTCTTTCACCAGCTCAGGACTCGCTCTGCTGAGCCTGGAGGGTCCATTTGCTGCTCTCCACTGAGATAAAGATGAATGTGGGGAAATATCTCTTACTGGGGGGCAGATATATTTAGGGCAGGAGTTATCCAGCCTCTGCTGCAGTAGATCTGAGATCCGTGGATGAACAAGAGGCACTTGCCTGACTCCCAGTGGACACGCTTCCATGTGCAGTTACTCAGCCTGAGCTGTGCTGCCCTGCAAACACTGTCCACAGCAGGGAAGCTGCTGAGAGGAGAGGGCAGAAGGTGAGAAGGATAACTGGAGCTCTGTGTGTTTTCATGCTGTAATAGCAGCTGTAGTGGCAAATCCTAGACCACAAATGATCTGTTTCAGTGGTAGAAGATCAGGTAATAACTTTCAGATTTGCTGAGGGATGTTTTGGAGAGTGGCAGTCTGTGGAATTTTTAGTGTTGCTGTGCCTGTATTTTTAGGGCCTGGGGGCTTTAGTTTCCCAATTTTAGCTAATTTAAATGCATTATTCCTGTGACTAATATTAAAGCCAAGTGTGGGAACAGTGCATCATGGCATTTTAAACAAGTATTTAGTGTGGATTTAGTTGTAGTGAAAGCTTTGTGAGATAATAAAGTGAAGAGCTGCTCTACTTCCCGCTGGGATTACCATGACAAGGGCTACTAATCCTCCTGCTCCTCATCACCTGCTGCAGGCAGAAATGGATTCTGTCCTCCAGCACAAGATCTGCAGAACCTGCTGGGTGCTCTGCTGGCTCTGGTGCTCCTTCTGTGAAGTGTCTCATCCCTCTGCCACAGGAGCAAGGCCAAACCGGCAGCAGAGATGGAGCTGGGCTGGGATTTGCTCCCCCTAAAACCCGACCAATGTGGGAAAAATAATTTCTGCTGCCAGGGGGCAGGGGCAGGGTGATCTCCTGTGGCAGCTCCTGTGCCCAGCTGGTTGCTCTGGAGCCAGTGAGGGCCCTGCTTGGCATCCCAGGCCCCGGCAATGCCTGCGCGGCCCCGGCTCTGCAGGCGGCTGGGAACAGGGAACAGCCTTTCCCTGGCAACCCAGCTAAGCTGGGTATGGCCCAGCTCAGCCCACCCCAAAGGCTGGGGGGAAGAGTCCTGGCAGGGCTCAGTCAGGGCTCCCACAGGGAACCAGTGCCCAGCTGCTCTGACCAGGCCAAGAGGCAAAAGGTGCTGCTGGGAGCCACTAGCTGCCCTCAGTCCTGCCCCACCCCGTGGCTGTCCTCCTGCCCCAATGGCATGAGGATGGGAAAACAGGGGACAGAGGCTCACCTTCCCTCAGAGGACACGTCTTTGGAGGATGAGACAAGCTGGAATGGGCTCCCCTAGCTTCCAGGAGGAAGTGACAGCCTGCACATCCCCCAGAAATCTGGTGGCACTTTGTCACCTGGGTGTCACTTGAAGTGCAAAGATCTGTGAATATTCATGTGCTCAGGTGGACAAGAAACTTCGCAAATTTGGAGCACAAAACAAGAGTGTGCAGAAGGGGGGAAGCAAAGATACCAGACAGAGGCCAGGCACAGCCCTGCCTTGTCCTATTGTGCCACCAGTCTGGCCCCACTGAGCCAGCCAAGGCTGCATCCATTCATTCAGAGGGACAAGCACCCCTCTGCTCACTGATCCCCCCTGTCTTCCCTCAAAGGCTCATCCCTAAAACTCCTCTAGGGGCTGGGGGCACATTTGGGCTGCCCCAAACAGAGCTACTGCCCTCCAGCCTGGCCAGCAGACCCAGATTACAGCTTTGCATCACCCTCCTCACCCTCCCCCCCAACTCCCCAGGGGATTAAAGCTCATTAATCACCCCAAGGCATTAGCCCCCACTGGGAGCAGCCGGTGCCTCCCCAGCCCCCTCAACCTGTCCCCATCACTGCTGAGGGGTACCCAAACCAGGCCCAGTGTCCCCCAGTGTTTTTCCCTCAAGCCCCAGAGGGCCACAGCAAGGCCTCTGCACCCCACCCCCAGGCTCTGGAAGGATTTAGCCTTAAACCAGACTCGTGAAGTCAGAAAGGTTTATTCCAGTAAACAGAATTTCTCTTGAGCTCAACAGTACAACAACACCCGATTGCAGCACATGGAAACAAAACATCCACAGGAAGAATTTCCACAAAATACAGGTAAAAAAAAATGTGATTGGAAAAACACCCATTTCAGAATAAAACAAGAGGTCTGTGAGAAGCTATTAAATTAAACAGTGTTGAATTCAAACCCTGATTGGCTCCGTCTCCAGGAGTGTGCAGTAGCAAAGGAGACTATTATTGCTTGCTGTGCTGGCTCCAGACGCCCTCTCCTCTCCCAAAATTTGCCCCAGGGCAGAGTGCTGAGCACTCCCCAGTGCTGGGCACCCATACCCCTCCTGCAGCTGAAGAGGCAAAGGGACAGGGTCATTGTGGACGGAGCTTGCCAGGCCAGGGTCAAATACCCTGGCTGTGGTCAGTGGCTGGGCAGGTGGGGTTTGGGAGAAGACACTAAAAGCCTCAGGTTTTGCAGTTAAAGGGTAATTTGGGGGGGATGTCAAATAGAGATGAGGTTTAGGGTGGGGGAAAAAACAGGGAACAGTGGGGACCAGGAGTGTTGGGCATCAGGCCACCCCAAATCCTTGATCCCTCCCAAACCCCTGCTTGTGCCTACCAGGGTGTGCAGGGCTTCAGGGCAGGGCTGGAGGAGCACCCTGGGGATGAGCTTTCGGGAGGGGGCACCCCCAGCACCCCCAGCCCAGAACTCCTCTGCAGGGATGCTCACTGGCCACCAAAGCCCAGCACTGGGTCAGGGTGGCAGGGAGCAGCCCCACATCTCTACCAGAAGCCCGTGGCAGGGAGGAGAGGAGTGCAGGAGAGGTGGCTCTGGGGCTGGGCAGGGGCTAGAAGACACCCAGCCCGCCCCAGGGCCTTCACAGGTTGCTGAATAGTTCATTTTTCTTGCTCCAGTCCATCTGGGGTGCCCTCTTGCTGGTGCGCTTCTGGTGCGCCCGCTCCTTGGCCACGGCCAGCGGGATGTCCAGGTCCAGGAGGGAGCCAGGTGCTGAGTGGCGCTTGTCACCCTCCTGCGCGTGACGTCGGGAGGGGTGAGAGGTGCTGTCAGCCCTGCTGTGTCCCCGTGGCGGGGGCTCAGCCCAGCCCTGCCTCCCCCCAGCAGTCCCAGCCCTACCTCGCCGTGGGGCTCGCCGGAGCCGGGGGCCGCGGGGCTGGACGGACGCTCGGACACCGAGGGGGAGCGCGGCTCTCCGCCGTTCTCCTGAGGGAGGGCAGCATTGGGGGAGTGTGAGCTCCAGCCCTGGGGCTGCAGAACAGCCTCCAGAGCTGCAAGGCCCACCCAGGGGGGCCATGAAATCCGTCCTTCCCGCAGTAATCCCCTGCAAGCTGCAGGCACGTAAATACCTCCAGCGCTGCCCATCAGGGCGGGGAAGGATTAAACCCCGGCCTGAGTGCCCTGGCTTTAGCAGGAGGAGAAGGAGGGTGGCTGCAGGGCTGGGTGCTACTTCCCTACTCCAGCACGAGGGCTCCTGGAGCATCGGATGGCAAAAGAGAGCAGGAAAACAGCCACCTCCATCACACTCAGCATCCCCCTTCCTGGAGGACACCAGTTCCCTTCCCAGTGGCACCAGCTCTTGTGTGGCAGGCTGAGATCACTGTGGTATCTGGTGGCATTACCCACCCATGGGCAGAGGGGACATGAACAGGAGGGTTCCTGACTGGAGATGGGCATAGATGGAATTAAAATCAAGACAAGGCTCTTACCTTCCCTATATCACCATTGGCTACTGGTTCTGGCAAGGGACCTGTGGGATAAGGACACAGGCATGGGGTGAGGATGTGTTTGCTTTGTCCCCTTGCCAGTGGAGGGCAAGCCAAGGCTGTACAAGGCCAATGCTCACACAACACTGCCCAAGGTCTGGCCAATGAATTTTTAAATTTTGAATTGAATTTTTTAACCACCCACTGCAGCCAGCCCCGTGGGAATGCTGCCAGCCCCATCCCCATGATGGCAGCTGTGATGTGGAGCCCAGTGAGACCCCTTCCCCATCCTCCTGGGGACCACTGTGACAGCAGAGGAGAGCAAAGGGCAGCTGATGCCTGTTTGCTCCCCAAGCCATAAACCCAGCCAAAGTGCAACCCAGGGCCATAAACCTGCCCATGTCAAGGGGGCCCTCAGCCAAGCAGGGAGACACCAAAGCCAGGTGACTCTGCATGGCCCCAAGGTGTTAAGGCCACCTCCCAGGGCTCAGCACCCTTAGGTTTGGTGAGACGGTGACACAGAGCCACCAGAGGTGTCACAAACCCCTCCCAGCAGCACAGTCCCCCAGTCCCCAGCCCACCTGTCAGGTGCTGCTCCGAGGGCACCACCTTGCACTTCTTGAAGAACTCATCTGTGAGGACGTCCACCACCAGCAGCCTGGTCTCGTCACCACTCGCCTTGATGGCTGCCACCACATCACTGTGCTGCTTGCCCTCCATGCACACACCATTCACCTGCAGGTACCACATCACCACTGGAGCTGGGGGACCTCCATCCCTCAGAAGCACCATGGAGGGCTCAGGTATCAGCCTTGGTACCAGCCATAATCCCAGTACACCCCACAGGCATTCA